CCCCCCCCACGCCCCACCCCACGAGCTGCTTTCTCTTACAGAAAGAAAGGGTGGGCTGGGGCAAGGACTGGTGTGTGTGGCAGTGTACCCACCACCAAGCTAAGTGGACAGGCAGGCCACAGCCTCAGGAGATGGCGGAGCCACTGGGAGCACTCACAGCCCCAAACTGCAATGCGCAGATTCCTGTGGTGCAGGGAGGGTGGTGTCCCAGGGTGCAGACACCTGGCCATGGTGTGGGTTGAAGTGTAACCGAGCAGTGCGTTTGCCTCACAGGGCTTTGTTTTAGAACATTTGGGGCATCCGCTGAGACCAGCTCTGGGCACCCATGGTTGGCGAGCCCAGGAACTGGGACCCACGAATGAGTGGTGTGCTAACACCAACTTTACTTGTGCTGTCGAAGGACCTGGCCCAGGAGCCAGGCAGCTGGGTTCTCTGACCTGGGTGGGAACTCACTTCCTGTAGCCTGGGCATCAGGCCTAAGGGCGTGAAACAGGAGCATCCACCGGAAACAGGGAGCCCGGACGGCAGGCCAAAGTCACTGGTCTGGGATTGTTAGAGAGATGTGGGTTAGTAATCAGTCCTGGTGTCTGCCCTGGGCAACGGAGGGGAAAGACACACACACAAAAGCACACCGGAGGCCAGGGCTTTTGACAAAGCCAGCCTTGCCTCCTCCTCCCCACCCCACTGACTCGCTTCCCTGGTGATGAGGACAGATGCTGGGCTCTTGTCCTGCAGTGGCGGCCAGTGGCAGGCCTGGGGGCAGGGCCTCTGCTTGCGCGGGCTGCTCCCTGGGGCTGGTTCCCAGGTGTTCAGCCGTTAACCGTCTCGATCCCGGTTGCAGAGAACGCGGGGTCTCTGAAGGTCCTCTTTGGCACCCCTGAGTTCGTGGCCCCGGAAGTGATCAACTACGAGCCCATTGGCTACGCCACAGACATGTGGAGCATCGGAGTCATCTGCTATATCCTGTGAGTCTGGGCTTGATCTCCGGTGAGGAGGTGGGTCAGTGGGGAGGAGGGCCCTCATTCCAAGTGGTCCTGACATTCAGGCCGGGGCAGGCGGGTGACAGCAGGAGCCCTGCTCTAGCATCAGGAGGGTGGCAGCCACCCCCCCGCCCCTGTGCGCTGCCTCTCTGTGGGGAAGTAGTTCCACATGCTGAAATGCCCACTGGGCTGCTGGCACACCGTGCTGGCCAGCAGGGCCTTCGGCATGAGAGCATGCAGTCCCGTGGGGGGCGGGCCTTGTGATCTCCCTGAGGGGGCACCGCGAGCGGGGAGGGCCCAGGCTCGCCCCCTCGGGGCAGCATCCCTGTCCTCAGTGGCAGCACAGGGTCCCACAGGCTGGCCCTGCTTCTCCTCTTGCCTTGAAGAGTGTGTGGGTTGTGGCCCAGCCGGGGTTTCGGCTGTGATGACAAGGGCAGAAGCAGAAGCCATTAAAAGTGTGCAGTCAGGGCTGACCAGCAGTGGAGAGGAAGAAGGAGACCTGTTACCCGGACCCCTCCTCCCCGGCATGGAGGTGCAGGAGTCAGCTGGAGGCCTCCTGAAACTGCAGGCTCTGCTGCAGAGGGGCGGGGGTCCCCCCGAGAGCCGCATTGCCAATGGGTTCCAGGCTGCCCCGGGACCCACACCAGAGTGAGGCCTTCTTGGTGGCGTCTCACTGGCTAGTCGATCCCCAGCAGGCACCTAGTGCAGAGGCGGCCCCTCCACTTGTCTAGCAAGTCACTCTGCCTTGTGGAGCAATACAGGGAACGCTGTGCTGGTTCACTGGTTCTTTTCTGGTTTGGCTTGAGCTGGGCTTCCTCATAAAAAGCATAAGGTTGACCTCTAAGAAACCTTTCTCGGTCCCCTGATGTCTTCAGCGTGGCCTGTGACAAGAGGCTGGGTGGTTCTGGGGTCCGGCTGGGGTTGGGGGCTGGTTTAAAAGGCTTCAGCAGACCCCCTAGTGAGGTTTATGCCTGAGGCTTTTCACTGTCTCCTACTGGCCGCCCTCAGTTGACCAGGGTCACAGGTCCTCTTGCTCCCTGCCTGGGGCCAACCTCAGCCCCCACCGCAGGGCAGGGAGGTCAGAACTCAGGGCTCACTTGGCGAGAGTGGGTCCAGCAGGGCGGTCCGGGTACTCAGGCCTGGATGGCGCCCACACTGCATCTCTGGACTCTAAGGTGCGGCCTCGGGCAGCTCGCTCCGACCCAGCCTCCTGTGCTGGCCCACCCCCCCCTCCCTCCCCAGTCGTCCAGGAGGCTGGCCTTCATGCATTTGTTCTTCAGCCTGTCCCCCGCCCTTGCAGGCAAGCGTTCCTGAGCGGGGTTGCACATGGTCCTCGGACAAGCTGGTGAGGGGCTCCTGGCAGAGACTGGATTATGTTTGGCACTGAGGTGACTGGGGCTGGCAGAGGACGCTGCCCAGGCCCCACAGAGCTGGCAGGGTGACTGACCGCCCCAGTTTGCCCCAGACTGAGGGGTTTCCCGGATACAGGACTTCCTGTGTTAAAACCGGGACAGCTGGACAAGCCAGGACAGAGCAGTGACCGGAATGCCGAGTCGATGGCAGTGGGAACGCACCTCAGGCCCTAAACCCAGACCAGGAAACTGCGCTTGGGGACTAGATAGCCCTGAAGGTTACACAGCAAGCATAGCATGGGGATGTAATGGGCGGCCCCGAACCATGCACTTAAAAATGGTCACAGTGGAAAACTCTAGTTATATATGTTTTACCGCCGTCTATTAAAGAGGAAGAAGAAACCAAGTCCCACCACAGCCCAGCAACCCTCCTGCCACCCCTCCCTGGTCACTCTCCTGCCCAGCCCCAGCCAGAGGAAAGCTGGCCCTGCTCAGAACTAAGGCCATCGTCCGTCCTGATCCCCCTGGACAGGACATGAATTAAATCAGGCCAGAAGGCGTGCTCGGCTGCTCTGGCCAAGGCCATTTGTGAGACGCGTCTGTTGGTCTTCTTGCGAGGAGTTGAAGGGGATGTATTTTCAGAGTTACCTGGGCAGCAAAACAGCTGCTGCCCCGGATCCTGATACAGGCCAGCGCCACATGGGTCAGAGTGGAATGGTGTTGCACCTGGTCGATGCAGCTGTGGCAGGTGACCAGGCCTTTCTTCCGCAGCGCCTCTGGGTGGACTGGAACCTCTAACCATTAGGCTAGTGGTAGAGCATGAGAGCCATTTGCACCACTCAGGGGCTCCTGACTGACTGCAGCCCAAGGTGGTTATGCAGTCGGCCTTGCAGAGCTGTGGGGCGGTTTCCGGTGGGGGCTATCGCAATATTCTGGCACCTGTCTCTTAGTCAACAGCTGGCGTAGTGGTTACACGGTGAGCTTCTGACCGCCAGGTCCTCAGTTTGAAACCACCTTGGGAGAAAGACGGGGCTTTCTACTCCCAAGAAGAGCGACAGTCTCTGAAACTCACAGGGGCAGTGCACTTGGACCTGAGCATTCTGTTTATAAGACCTAGACCCAGGATCACCGCATCCTAAGAGCACGTTATTCTGACGTCAAAATCAAGTCAGTTGGTGGCGTGTAGTCCTGGGGAAACGTTACATGGTGTACTCGATCACGTTGGCAGCTAATAGCAGCAAGAAACAGGGAAGTACTTTTGAAACAGGAGAGGAACCGATTTTGACAAACAGCACCAGCCTGAGATGTGAGGCCAGGGGGGCCAGGAGACGGCCAGGGGCTGAGGACCAGGCAGTCCAGCCCTGGGCCAGCCCAGCGCAGAGTCCTGGTGCCTGGCCTCTCCACTGGGGGCCGCTCGGCCTGCTGGGACGCTGCCAGGCCAGCTCTGGGGTTGGGGCTGGGAGTACGCTCCCAAGCTTCTGCTCTCTCAGCAAAGTGCGAGCTGCCAAGGACCGAGGTTAGAGCCAACGATGGCTTCTGGCAAGTGCCTGCTGCCGAGTTCAGGCCAAGCAGCTGGCAGCACCCCAGAAGTGATTCCCCAGCTGCCTCACAACGCCCTCTGCCCTGTTCTGAGTCTGGTCCCAGAGGCACCACCCGCTCCACCCCAACTCCAGCCCGCCCTTCTGAGGCCTCAGGGCTGGGAGTTGGAGGTAGAGCACGGAGAAGGGGTGCCCTATCTCCTCATTAGTCAGCACACCCTCTTTAGTTAACACTGCCTGGGCCAGGCGGTCTGCCGCCCCAGCTTGGTCTGACTTTGGTAGAGAAGGTCCCTTCCCTGGGAGCGGAGGCCCAATGCCCAGGCATCAGTCAGCTGCTCAGACCCAGGTTTGGATCGAAGGCTCTTTGGAGGGCTTGGGCAGCCTCACCCCAGCTCCTGGAACCTCCACCCACTGCTGCATGTCAGGCCCTGCCCCCGCTTTCCCGGTTTGTTCACCAGGGAGTGAAACAAACAAACAAGAGAACTATCCCCACAGCCACGGAGGAGATGTCAAGTCATGGTGTCCCTGCCTAGAGTTTCCAAGGCTGAACATTGCTACAGGAACAGACAGCCTCATCTTTCTCTCAAGGAGCAGCTGGTGGGTTTGAACCCTCGATCTTGTGGTTAACAGCCCCAATACTGACCGGAGAGTGCCACCAGAGCGATGGGCTGTGATTCGGCCCAGGCTGCTGCTTTCTGGGCCACGGCACAAAGGGACGCTGGGCTCTTGGCTCTTCCTGTGGGCACTGCCCCACCCTGTCTCTGTCTCCCCACCTGCCAGGCAGGGAGAACTGGCAATTCAGCTGGGTCACAGGGGCACCCGCCCTTTCCTAGCCACCAGGGTCCAGGGTCCGGGTGGCATCACAGGCTACACCAGTAGGCTGCCAGCCATAAAAACAGCGGTTCAAACCCAGCTGGTGCTCGGAGAGAGAGAGTGACGAGGCTGTTAAAGGTGAGGCTCTGGTAAAGATTTACAGCCTCTGAAACCCTGCGGGACACTTCTGCACTGACCTGTCGGGTGGCTGTGAGTCGGCAGTAGAGAGTGGGGACCCCCTCAGTAGTCATACTTACCAGCGTGCGTTCCCCTTGGCTGGCCACTCTTGCAACACCCACCCAACCCCCAACACCAGGAGGCGGGCCTTTCTGCACCCTCCTCTCACCTGCCCTTCTGCCCTGAGAAGTTTTATCCTAAGGAGAGATACAGAGTTTCAACATTGGAACACCATAGCCCTGACCTTTGTGATGGATGCACACAGAGGCGAACATCTGATTGCCGGCAGTGATTGAGAGACCCTAGGCGTACTTGCGCAAGTCCAAGTAAGAGAGTGTGCAGGTGGCGCTGCCTGCCATCTCGGGAAACCAGCTGAACCCGTCCATCAGTTATACACGGGGGCAGACTAGGAAGAGGGCACACCGTTGCTTTTGTAATACTCCTGTACTTTTGTGTTTTGACCAATGATAACTTTTTGGGTGTGAAAAGACATGTGCCCCTTAGGCACATCCTAGCAACAGCTTTGGTGCATGTACATACTCCTATGTAGGTGAGAATCCTACCGCTCGGAGCAGCATTGTGGTATTTTGCACGCTCACCTCGTTACATCGACAAGCCGGGCTTCATTTTACAGAAGGCAGGCTCTTTAATCTGGAGCCTGCTGAGGAGCTGGGGCGGGCTGGGAGCCAGTCAGGGTGAGGGGGTTGTTTCAGAAGGCTGGAATTGCCAGGGAGGAGGCTCTCCCTTAACATTGCAGAGATGACAACCTATCTGTGCAGGATTTCAGCTCCAAATTAGGAAAGGAGGTTTGCTGAAGGAGAACCTAGCAGCATTCCACAGAGGGTGGTTCGCTTTGGGGAGTGCTGCAGGACTTTCCTCACCAAGAGTCAGGAGTCCTGGTGGTGTCCTAGGTTGCACGCAGGCCTGGGAACCACAAGGTCAGCAGTTCAAACCCCCCATTGATTCCTTGAGAGAAAGATGAGGCCTTTGGTACCCATAAAGATTTACAGCCTCAGAAACCCAAAGGGATGCTTGTTCTCTGCCCTATGGGGTCACTATGAATTGGAATTGATTCGATAGCAGTGAAGTCAATAAGGAACCCTGGTGGCACTGAGGGATAAACATTGGGCTGATAACTACAAGGTCATCGGTTGAAACTGTGCCTTGGGAAAAAGATGAGGCCGTCCTCTCTCGTATTTTTACAGCATGGGAGACCCCGTGGAGGACGCTAGGAGTCGGGGTGACTGAGTGGCGGTAGGTCTGGGTCACAGAAAGACAAAGGAGGCATGGAGCTGACAAGCAGGAGTCAGGCTGCCCTTGGGGACTTGCGAAGGCTGGAGGGATTGGTGCAGAAAAGAGGAACCCAGGCCCAGAGGGAAAAAGGAACTGAACATCATCCAACGACTGAGGGATTGGTCATTTGCAGCCCTTCCCTCTGGGGTGAGGCTCGGAGTGGTTATCGCCACGCCTTCTCAGAACTCAGTGCTGCCTCGCTCTAAGAAAACGAGCTTCCTGAGCAGTGCCGTGCTCAGAAACCTTACTGCGCGGTGGCTGCTATTGTCAGGTTCCACCCCGTCTGTTCCGGCTCATGGCGGCCTTATGGACAGCAGAACACAACACGGCCCTGTCCGCGCCGTCCTCAGAATTGCTCTTGTGTTGTTCACACCCTGGTGACGTGTGTGTTGCTGTCCTGCTGGAAGCTCTGTCCCTGGCATTTCCAACATCAGCCGGGTCACCCACAGCGGGCAGGCTTCGGCGGAGCACCCAGGCTATGAAGGAAGAATAGGGCTGCCCACTGAAAACCCTCTGGACAGCAACACAGCAGAGTGGGGTAGGGTAAAATAATTCAAGTACCAAAGAGCATTAGAAGGGTTTGTCCTTGTCGATGGCAATGGGCCACGAGGACTAGAGGGAAGGGGCTAGCGAAGCCTTAGATGGGGAAGCTGATGGCAGGAGAGACCCAGATCCATCTCCCGGGGCTCAGGCGGGGCCAGGGCAGGACCAGCGGCATCATTGTGGGGCTTAGTGTAAATTGAAAAGTCTACTCCTTCAAAGGCCCATCTGCATTTCAAGATGGCAATGGCAGACCAGTGACCTAAAGGTGGGTCTCGGGCCGAGGTCGCCCACTCACAAAGCCTACCCTGTGAAGGTGAGTCAGGGCAGATGGCTGACCTGAAGGTGAGGTAAACAGAGGTGAGAGGTAAGGCAGGAAGCCAGGAATCTGTTCCAGGGTGCTTTGAGATCCAAGAACCCGTTACCTGCCAAATAACACTTGGCTTCAGCTCCTGCTAAAATGAGTCATCTGGGAGCTCCCATGGGGAGAGGCCGTGGAGGAGACCCAGTAGAACCTGGGTCTGTCCTGTCCGGGGCCCGAGACCAGGCTCCTCACTGGGGGCCAGGCCCGGGCCGGCACTCCGGTGCCACAATTGAATCCATTTCCATAGACATGTGAGTCAGATGTGGCTGTTTAGGGCCTAGGTTCTTGAGTCAGGCACCGGGGTCCAGCGCTCATTGGCTGGGACCCCTTGGGCAGATCACTCAGCCCACTCTGTGCCTCAGTTTCCTCATCTATAAAACACTGTCCTGAGAGAGAACCAGCCTGTGCAGCACGCATTGGGCTGCTCACCACAAGATCAGCCGTTTGAGAGAAAGCTGACCCTCTCTACTCCCGGAAGGATTTAGTCTCCGAAACCCACAGGGGTCTGTTCTACCCTGTCCTATCGGGTCACTGGGAGACAGGACCAATTCTGTGGCAGTAAGTGAAACATTGTAGGGTGGGGTTAAGAGTAAATGCATTCATTCTTTTTAAACTCATTGCCCAGTACCTGGCAAGTATTAAATGTTTGGTGAACGTTGGCTGCCATCACAATGATGGTGGTGATGATGGTGATGGTAGTGGTGGTGGTAGTGGTGAGTTAAATTGTGGTCCCTCATTTTACCAAAGAGGAAAAGAAGAGAGAGTAGGGGAATGGGCCAGGGTCACCTGGGGAAGCTGTGGCCTCTCCATTGATTATGATACCTCCTGGGGACACTTTCTGGCTTGGCATCAAAGCCTCACTCATGTGCAGATGGGGAGCCAAGCCTTCGCTGCTGCTTCCCGGTCAGTCTGTCCATTCAATGTACCCTTGTGGGCATCCCTGCTGGGCTGGGCCCTCATGGTGCTGACATGTAGCAAGGTGGCAGGTGGACGAGAGGGTGGGGGCTGATGGACCAGTGATAGCTCCTCTCCCCTTTCTTAGCTCCCAGTGATGGTGGGATTACAGGGATGCGGAGACGTGTTCCCAGTGGAAATCTCCGTGCAGGGGGCTCTGTGTGGGGCAAGTTTCTAGTTGGGATGGTGAAGACCAGAAGGCAAGGACGGGCCAGGGCCTCACCTGCCCTACACTGCATGATGTGGAATCTCTGGATGGTGCAAACACCTCACGTGCCTGTCTGCTAATCGCCAAGTTGGAGGTGCACATCCACCCGAGGTTCCCTCAGAGGAAAGGCCACTGCTGAGAGAAAGCCTCGTGTAGCCCCGTTCCCCTCTGACACAAGCCGGGTCGACGCAATAGCAACAAGCCCCGATAGCATGGTAGGTAACTGCATGGTGAAGGTGGGCACGCCACGTGCCTTCCCCTCAGGCCTCACAGGCCCCTGGTGTCACCAGATAGGAGACCCCACACAAGTGCAGGGAGAGGAGACCCCGGGCCTCCAGGACGTCCGAGGAGTCACATCATTTTCATTCAACCAGGGGCCCTCACTCAGTCACCCATGCTTTGCTCTCCGGCTCTTCTCTCCCCAGGGTCAGTGGACTGTCCCCTTTCATGGGTGACAATGACAATGAAACCTTAGCCAACGTCACCTCAGCCACCTGGGACTTCGACGACGAGGCGTTCGATGAGATCTCCGACGATGCCAAGGATTTTATCAGCAGCTTGCTGAAGAAAGATATGAAGTAACTGGCCGAGCCTTCATCCCTTCCCGTTTCCCCACTCCTGGGGTGGTGTCTCGGGAGGCGTGGGTTGTCCCCATCTGTCATGGCATTGAGAAGGACCACGTGGGGCTGGGGAAGGAGGGGCGTAAACATCCTCCTGGCCGAGGGTCCCTGAGTAGACACCATCCTGGCCTCTCGGGGCAGCAATCCTCCCAGCACATAGAGCCACACTAGACTGCTACCGCAGCTCCACCAACAACACCTGTTGTTTGGTGTGCATGATGGTGGCTTGTCAAAGCCTGCCCTCCTCGGGGCCCCTGAGGGTGGCTGAGGAAGAAGCTCCTCAGCAGGTGATGAGGCTGAATTAGCACCTCTTCACGGGCTCCAGCCACCCACCCGAGTGCCAGGCACAGTATTTTCTCAAGCCGAAATGGTTTCAGAGCCACCTGTGTGAACAAGAGCAGGGTTAGGCTGCGTTCCCTGGGCACTGGATTGAGCCCACCGTCTCTGTGCTCTGGGGCCGCCTAGAGCCGCCCATCTGGTCAGAGGCAGAATGGAATGCATCTAACAGTGGTGTGTGCACGTGCATAGGTGGCCCAGGAGGGCCCAGAGAGGTCTCAGTGAGGGGCACAGGGCTGTAGGGGGGCCCAGCGCAGAGGTGGGCCTGGGGTGTGGTGAGCTGGCTGAATGACTGATGAGGGGATCCGCTCAGTTAAAGAGGGTGAGAGGGCATGGGGATGTGAAGGCCGCTGTCCCAGGGGAAGGGGGCGGGGGCTGTCAGGTGAGAGTCGCTGGCCTGTCTGGCCCCTCCACTGGAAAACCCACTGCCCCTGACTCAGTTCTAACCCACAGCGTCCCTGAAGGACAGAGTAGAACTGCCCCATTGGGGGCGTAGTGCGGGGCTTTTTAAACGTTTCCCACGCACGGCCCCTTGCTGCCCAAGAAATTCACCACACCTCAGGTGTGTGATGCGTCTGGTTTTGAATTCAATTCTGGTCGCTGTGCATTCAGAGACCTTTCACTGTTGCCAATGTTTGTAGCAGCAGTTCAAACCCACCAGCAGCTCTGTGGGGGGAACAATGAGGCTGCCTCATTGTAAAACTTTTCCGCCATGGAAAAGCGCAGGGCCATTCTCCCCTGCCCTATGGGGTCATGGCCAGTCAGTGGACGCAGCGGCCGTGGTTTCATGTTCCATTCTTTGCTGAAGCAGGGGCCCTGGGAGCCTGGGTTGTACTTGGCAATGGGCAGCAGCTGGGAGGCTTGTCAGAGGAGGTGGGGGAGGTGAACCGGGCAGTGTGCCTGAGCAGGAGGGGGCAGGACATGGAGGCCGTCTCAGCCCTGTGACAGGGAGCCTCACAGAGCCGGGAACCTCCCTCCTGAACACTCTGGTTTCTGTCAACAGAACTTTGCTTCAGGAGGATTTGGCAAATGGCATGGCGCACCCACCCCGTTCCCCCTTGGCGCCATCCAGGCGCTGTGGGGAGTCCTTCTGTCTTTGCCACATGGACTCACCCGAAAGAACGGATCTTAATCAAACCGCTTGAACACCACCCCCACCCCCAACCCCCAATGCTTCCCTCAAATACCTCCTCCTAACTGCGTTTTGTAATCTCTCTCCATTATGAAACTGGAGGCAATTTGCAAAACACAGGAAAATCACAATCGGCCCTAGCTCCTATAGCTAAAGATCTGTTACACTCCCCCGCCACCCCCACCCCCATCAGTTTTGGGGGCCCATTCGCTTTGGGCTTTCCTAGTGTCGTACAACGGAGGTTTCTGATACTGATCTGGAAATAGCTCTAGATGCCTGGGGCTTTCAGAAAGATTAAATGTGTCCGTGTAGTTCCAAAGTGGTTATCGTTGATGGGCTGTGTGGGGGAAATCCCTCAAACAGGAAAAACCCGGTGTTCCGCCACACGCACGATAAGTCATGGACTTATATGATTCTCAGAGGTCCCGCACGCTCCACTCTCCCAGATAGATGGACAGAAGGATGTAGGCCACGGGGCTCCAAAGCCCACTAGGATCGAAGGGCTGTGCTCAGCCTGCACAGGTCAGCTGTCTCCAGACACATCAGCCCTTTGACCTAGACCCATCCCAGGCCTCACGGACCCACAGGTCATGGGTCATCAGTTGCTTCCCTGGTGGTCACACCATGGAGGAGGCGCTGAAAGTGCAGTGCCCCCGTGGGATGGCGGGTGGCCTGAAAGTGGGGTGCTCTGCTGTGTGAGGGAGACAGGGGACTGCCCACATCTGCTCTGGTCGCTGAGGTGCCCTCCTGCTCAGTAACCCTCTGACCTCTGCCCCCGTCAGAACTCGCCTGGACTGTACGCAGTGCCTGCAGCACCCGTGGCTAATGAAAGACACCAAGACTATGGAGGCCAAGAAGCTGTCCAAGGACCGCATGAAGAAGTACATGGCCCGGAGGAAATGGCAGGTACTGCGGGCAGCCAGGCCTTTTCCCTGATCTTTCCCAGGAAAGTTTCCATTTATTTCTGAAGTCGTCTGGGACCAATTTAGACCCCTTAGGTCGGTGTGGTGTGGGGATGTGCTCGGCCCTCTTACTGGCCCCAGCATTGCCCCAGGGGGGATGGGTTTCTTCGCTCCAACCATCTCTGCAGCCCTGTTTAGCTTAGGCCCAGAGGGACCACCAGGAGGGAGGCCTCAGGCTGCCCAGCCCTATCTGGCTCACACCCCCAGCGTTTCCTGCCTTCATGGTGGGAGTGAGCGATGGCACCTGTAGGCTTATTCGTCACACCTGGAGAATGGCTGTCCTTTCAGGTGAGCTGATGCTCTGACATTGCTTTATGATGAAAGGGGAGGCCAAGAAAGAAACCTGGGGAGGGCCCAGGCAGTACAGACGGTTAATGACCCTGACTGCTGGCCTGAAAGTCAGAGGTTCCCATCCGATGGATGGGGCCTCTGAAAAAAGACCCGGTGACCTGCAACCAGGAAAAGCCAGCACCGGTCGCTTACCCTCTAACACAGGCATTACTAGCTATGTGTCCCTGGTCTGTGACTTCTCCCCGCTGGGCCTTTACTGTCACCTCTGGAAGTGGGGCTAAGAATGGTGCCCACCTCAAGCACTGTCGTGAGAACGAAACAAGGCCATCTTCAGTGGCCCGTATGTAGACACTGCCCAGCACAGAGCCAGCGGGCAGAGATGAGAGTGTCATGTATGAAGGGCTGGCCCAGGACCGGCTCCCAAGCACACAGTCTTAACCACAGCAGGAAACGGTCTTTGATAACGGGGATAAAAGGCTCAGCCAAAGCAAAGCGGAGTTGTTAGCACCGCCGTCGTCTGTTTGGCTTTTCTTGTCACGTTGTTTTTGTAGCGTGGTGACCGCTTTCCCATGCCGGGCTGCAGTGGGGTACGTGGTTCCCATACTCAAGGAATGTAGTGTCACAAAGGGCTGCTGGAGCAGAGACATAAAAGGGAAGAACGCACGCCAGGAATATAGGCAGGCAGGCAGTATAGCTCTGCATGACCATATATGAGAGTGGAGGGAGATGGAGCCTGTCCCGCCGGAGTCGGGTGTCATGAGGGCTTGCTGGCAGGGGAGGGCTGGGCACGGGACATGGGTTAGAACACAGAGAAGCGGGGATGGCAGCATGATGGGTGGTGTGCAGCCTCAGAAACCCACAGGGCAGCCTGTTTGAAGGCTAGGTAGGAGCAGACGAAGCCTTGGAGCTGGGGAGTCGGGGGCTTGCAGGGCACGTAGGCCTTTCCTTTGACAAAAAAGGAAGCCCTGATGGCATGGTGGTTACCCACTGGGCTGCTCACCATAAGGTCAGCAGTTCAAAACCACCGACCGCTCTGTAGGAGAGAGATGAGGCTTTCTGCTCCTGTAAGGAGTCGCGCGGGCTTCGAAGGCCACAGGGCAGCTCTCCCGAGGCACGCGGGTCACCCTGCGTTGGGATCAACTCGATGGCAGTGAGCTTAGTGTGGGGTTTACGTGGCAGCAGAGAGGAGATCACTGGTACAGGGGCAGCAGGTAATTTGCTTGTAATGTGCCACACAGGGTGATAACCAAGCTTCCCCCGAAAAGCCCAACTTCATGCAAAGGTTGAGAGAGGGAGCTGAGGTGTCTGAGGGTCTCAGGTGGGGGGGGAAGGCCCCACCATCCTGTGCACGTGCCACAGGTGGGTACAGGGGAGCTCCTGCACAGTGGGAGATGTTCTTGGTTGACTCCTGTGGGAAGCTTAGGTGGGGCTCCATGTCTCTCTCAAGTGCAAGGTGAGAGTTGGAACACCTGCCAAACGCACTGCTGTTGAGTCCCATGCCAACACATAGCGACCCTGTAGGAGGGGTAGGCCTGGAAATCCTGAGGAGCAAGCTGATGGGCTTAAACCACCAACCTTGAAGTTGGCAGCCCAATGTGTACCCCACTATACTACCAGGGCAACCTCCGCTGCAAGGAAGCAAAACGAAGCCCCTAACATTGAGTTGATCTGGCTCCCAGTGACCCTGGTACTGTTAGGGCTCATAAGGTTCTTTCCATCAAAGAGGGGTCCACAAAATCAGAGGTTGGCTGTACTATGATCCTGTGGCCCCCTAGGTGTCTGGAGAGAGTAGGGTAACTCTGGAGGGGGTGGAGCGGTCCTCGGAGCTTGATCTAAGGCAGTGGTTCTCAACCTGTGGGTCTTGACCCCTTTGGGGGCTGAATAAATCTTTCACAGGGGTCCCCCGATTCATAACATTAGCAAAACTACAGTTATGAAGTAGAAACAAAAAATAGTTTTATGGTTGGGGGTCACCACAACACGAGGAACTGTGTTAATGGGTTGTGGCATGAGGAGGGTTGAGAACCACTGATCCAGGGCTTTTGCTTGAGGGAGTCTTGCTGTGGGTTACAGGGCAGCCTGATTACCTCAGACTCCTGGGAGAAGCGGAATGTGTGCAGACAGACCCAAGCCAAGATGGCACCAAAGCCCAAGGGAACGGACAGAGAGAGAAGACGCTGATGTTTGTCACTGATTGTCTTCCTATTGCCTACAGTGCTATTGATGACGGATGTCCTAGACGTGGACGTAGAAAGAAAGGGTAGAACCCAGAGAAGGGGCCTGAATTCCACTCTGAAATGCAGGTGGCAGGCCTTGGAAGTGACTCCCCCCCAAAGAACAGCAGTCGGGTTTCCCAAACGTGCACCCAAAAGTAGTGTCGAGACCCAGACCCTACTGTGCGCATGTGTGCTGTCCCTAAAGCCCGGTTTTCACCGGCAACAGCGCAGCCGCCTCTGGCCCCCTTGGTGTGACATCGCTTCCTTGGGGACGCTGGCCCCACCGGCTCCAGGGGCTGCGCCTTCCAGGAGGGGAGTGGGAGAGCAGCGGGGTGGCGTGTGCTGGTGGGAGAGGGCAGGGCAGGCACAGGTGCCCAGTCCTCGCTCCAGCTGCATGAGAGAGAGAAGGCTCTTCGCTGGGGTAGTGACGTCCATGCAACGTCCTGGGAGGAGGAAGGACAGGGGATCCTTGGACAGAATGGCGGTGAGGGATGCCGACTCCCCGCGCAGTTGAAAACTCAGGTCGAACATTGGATTCCCCAGGATGTTACATACGGCTGGCCTGCTGTTGATTGGAAGTCTTACCAATTACATAAACCGGCGCTTACCATAAAGGCCCACAGAAAAGCAGCATTTAAAAATATGAGACCAAAAAAAAGGTATTTCCCCCCAAAAGGACACGGCTTGAAGCCTGCTGGCATCCACTGCCCAGATGGCTCTGTGGACTCCCTCTTCTTTATGGACCACAGCTCACTCTCTGGACCCGGGTCCCTCAGGGTGGCGGCACCCGCAGCGCGGCTCCTCACCACAGAGCACACATCACACCACCCTCTGCTCTGGGAGCACTACCAGCACCGCCCGTGGCGCTCTGGGTGGGGCCTGTGGTGGTGCGGGCACCACCAGGCACCCTGGAAACCGCGGGAGGACAGAAGAATGCCACTCTGGCACAAGACGCAATTTCCCGGAGGCGAGCTGCTGGGAGGGAGATGATTGCCAGGACATGGTGTTTGGAACCGTGTTGTTTGAGGGCTGACTGTACTATGGAGACAGAGCCTCGTGCACAAACGTCCATAAAGAGGTGGGGTAGGGGTGGGTGAGCTTCGGGCTGCTGACCGCATCATCTGTGGTTCAAACCCACTAGCTGCTCCACGGGAGAAAGATGAGGCTGTCCACTCCTATAAAAATTTACCATCGAAGAACCCTTGCGTAGGGTCGCCGTGAGTTGGCATCTGAAAGGGGAGGACTCTTTGGGGTTTCTGTTAGACCTTGTAAAAGTCCAGGCAGTGGAGAAGCGTGTAACACGGCTCCTGCGTGCAAACTGCCGGCTCTGTCCTCAGAGCCTAGAGAAGTGAGCTCTTGACTCAGTCTCGCTCTCTCCACCGGCACCTCTGGATACGATGTAGTTCTCAGGGGACCACTGGCATATCCTGGGGGCCTGTGAAGGGTCTCCGCTTCTAGAATGACCAGCTTGGCCCCGTTTGCAAGGGACTACTGTCCTGGTTTCAGCACTGAAAGACCTGAGCAAGCCAGGATGGTGGGTGACCCTCGATGGCTCTCGGGAGAACGGGAGGGGCTAGTGCGGACACTGGAACCCAGGCGCTCAGGAGCCCAACCTTGGCACCACCCTCGGGAAAGAAGAGGCTGACGCAGATGAGAATTGGACATGAGAATGGCAGCCGGGCGACCTCAGTCGTCCAACATTTTCCAGCAGTCTTGGTTAGTAAAGAGGAAACAACTTCAGCTCAAAGGCACGAGACGGGAAACCTGGAACACAGGGATGTGCTCTGTTTTCCATTCCAGCAAGTAGCTGCCTTACCAAGCCCTCTTTCATAAATTGATTCCCCAAGATTGAATTCTGATGCGGATCCCTCTACTGATTCTTATCAAGCACCTCTGAGGCCTCTCCCACACACTGGCCTCCTCACAGCAGGGATCTTGCTAAGAGACAAGAGGAAGGAAAGGCACCATCGCTCTGCACCGTGCAAGGGTAGACGGTAGTCCCAGGCAGCCGCAGCCCAGCCTGAGGGAATCTGGGGTCTCACAAGGCGTTGCTTACTGTTGTGCATTTGTGGGACCAGAGAAGACCCGAGCAGCAGGAGCTCAGAATCTTCTAGTCCAATCACCTCAAGACCCTGAGGCCCAGAGAGAGGAAGTGACTCACACCAGGCCATACAGTAATCACGCGTCCCTTGCTGGGCATGGACCTACCAAGTGTAGAAACTCTGGGCTCAGAGCAAGGCAATATGTGTGGGATAATGGGTCATGTGGCTGATGAAGAAATAGCCTGGTTTATCAGGAGGGCAGCTGTGGCCACCTCTTGCTTGAGGCCAGGGTGAGTTCTTATGGGAAGAGCTGGGTCTCGGGAGCAGCCCCTCCCAGGAAAGCAAGGAGCACTGCCAAGTAGTCTGCAGGTTACAGTGACTGACTGACACAGTTAAGCTGGAAGGAAGGTAGCTATTGCTTCACCTTCTGCTCTTAGTGACCCCATTGTCCCAGACATGCCACTTCCCTGTGGCAGCAGAGGGCCAAACACGCACCCACACCATGCAGGAGTGTGTATGAGAGGGTAGGCGGCCAGAGGACGGAGCCAGGTGGAACGCCTGTCAAGGTGCATGAAGAAAATCTGTTGCGAGGAGACGAGGTGGTGTAGCTGTAGAAAAGGGACCACAGCCATGGCGTTGCAGCCGCGTTATATGCATGTGATGGCTGGATGTGGAATAAGGAAGACTGCGAATATGTATTAGCATGAGGGTGCCAGTGGTAGGTCTCTACTCAAACCACACACACACACACACACACACACACACACACACACAGAGTCTGAAGCTAGAGGCCTGCTGGCCAGATAGTCTAAAAGTTTGAGCCTTCACAAGATGGCTTTCCCAGCAGGGCTGCGGCCCAGTGGGAATGACAGGAGCAAACCAGGTGTGTGCTGAGAGGCTGCACAGCCTGCTCTGTGCGTCATTGCCTATGTGTGTCATTCCCACCGACCTTCACAAAAGCATGAGGAACTTTGAGGGTGAGCAGCAGACACGGCTGTGCATTGCAGAGGTTTCTCTACGCAAATCCTGTGCTTGGCAGAGATTTTACAGTGCAGAGGACAGACCTCGCAAGTGCTGGCACTGTCCAGAGGGATTCTGCCCCAGGCCCCTAAGGGGCCTGCCGCTGCAGCTAGATGCCATGCGTCCAGTTGGTTCCGACTCACAGGGACCTTATGTACAACAAAAGGAGCCACTGCCCAGTCCTGCGCCGTCCTCACCAGTGTTCTTAAGTCTGAGCCCATTGTGGCAGCCACGGTGTCAGGCCATCTCGTGGAGGGACTGCCTCTTTTTTGCGGACCCTCCACTTGTCCTTCTCCAGGGACTGGTCTCTCCTGAAAATGTGTTCCAAGTACGTGCGACTGAGTCTCACCATCCTTGCTTCTAAGGAGCTCTCTCGCTGTACTTCTTCCAGGACAGATTTGCGTGTTATTTCGGCAGTCTATGGTACTTTCGATATCCTTTGCCAGGATCATCATTCAAATGTACTGACTCTTCTTCGGTCTTCCTTACTCAATGTCCAACTCTCACATACCTGTGAGGCCACTGAATATACCATGGCTTTGGTCGGGGCCACCTTCATGCTCAGGGTAGTCTCCTTGCATTTCAACACTTTGAAGAGGTCTTGGGCAGCGGGTTAACCCAGTGCAGTGTGTCGCTTGATCTCTGTTCTGTTCCCTTGGGAATTGACTGTGGTGCCCAGCCTTGGGAAATCACATTGCCGCTGCCTTTTACTTTGCCTGGGTGCTCCTTTGGGATGCCTGAGTGAGCATCGGGGAAGAAGAGCCTCCACAGCCTCTCTGTGCAGTCATGGGCGTGTGCTGGGCCAGCCAGAAAGCTTCTGGAAATCTCTTTACGGATCTAAATCATAAATAGAACCAAGCGGGACCTAGGAGAGCACCTTGTCCAAACCCCCCTCCTGATGCTGAAAGGGAAACCGAAGCCCAGAGGTGCAGCAGCGAGTTGCCCATGGTCACTCGAAGGCTGAAGGATCTGTAGTAGTGACTGTCTTGGCCACTTAAAAGCCTCTCACTAGCATTGTTTTATGAGAAACCGCCTCGCTGGGCCCCGCTCGCAATAAGTCTTTGGAGCTGTCTCCACCCGCCGTGGCTTTATATAAACTATCCCTTTTATGGGAGTGGAAGCGTAGTCTGAAGAGGGTTTTTGTCTCCTGTTAACCTTGTTTAGTCACATTAACGCGCACATCAGCTCCAAGGCCCCATTCCACTCTCCCAACATCTCCTGACACGCCGAGTGCTGAGCGGAGCAAGCTTGGACCGCGGGACACTGAGCCCTCCTTCCAGGAGTCCAGCTGCTCCTTGGGCTCCCGGACAGGCTCTTCTGGGAGCAGGGGGCACTGCCCAGCCAAGCCCAGGGACACTCCTGAGCCCAACCCCGCTGTCTCTTTCCCAGAAAACAGGCAATGCTGTGAGAGCCATCGGGAGACTGTCCTCTATGGCCATGATCTCAGGGCTCAGTGGCAGGAAGTCCTCTACAGGGTCGCCCACCAGCCCACTCAATGCAGAGAAACTCGAGTCGGAAGGTAAGGAGCACGGTGGGGAGGTTCCGGCCATTCGGTGGAGAGGGAATTGGGAGATGGAGGAACTTCTGAAGGCAGTTTTAGGTTTTTGGGCTCTTTTGTGTTTTTTGTTTGCTTGTTTTTTAATACAGCCTGGAATGGTCAATTTAGGAATTCGGAACTACTTGGGGATTGCTCTGGCATGAGGGCTAGCCATTGCTCTAATGGTTGCCGCCTTAAGTGAAACTGTCTTCAAAGGGAAGGTTCTTTTTCATCTACCAGAACTGGATGGCCCTTGTTATGCTTTGGCCTGCATTTTGTATAAGAATGAATGAAGCCATATTAAAAGAAAACTCCTCTTCTGGATATAAACGCAATACTGGTAGAGTGATAAGCCAAAGCAACATTAAAATCACATCTACTTGTGGAACTTCCTATGAGGTTTTTCTTTTTCTTTTTTTGGTTTTGTCCATCCTGTGTCTGTGTTTTCGTTTTTTGATGAAAATTCACTTGTATAGTCCATATTCTTTGGGCAGTGTCCTCGATGCTGAAGCCAGGTAGCCTGATTGGCAGGTTCCTCCCTGGGGACCAGTAGGGTGGGTGGCTTGCCCATTTGTCCTTGAGATGCGGTCCCATCCGGCTCCTCAACCAAGGCCTCAGCCTCTTCCAGGATCAGGAGCACATGGGGCCTGACCCCTCTCTCCCCTGAGGTTCTTCAAGTGGGCAGGGCTCCCCTGGCCCTGACCCCACTGCCTGGCGCTCCTGGTGCCCACAGTGAGAAGTCCACGTCTCGATCCCTTGTGTGCTCAGAAGCACCAACGAGGTTGCCAGGTTGCTACGAGGCTTCTGTGTGTCTGGGGACAGAGTCTGTAGCCCACGGGCCTATTCCCTCTGCCCCAGGGCTGTCATTCCCAAGGGGCTCAGCAGTGGAAGGAAAGAGAAGGAGATGGGACATGAGCACCTCAGGGTGGCATCCAGCCCTGTCCTAGACGAGCCTCACACCCCGGTCTGCAGTGACGCCCAGTGAGGGCCGTGTCCGAGGCGGAGAATTAAACTCCTGGCAAGTTACAGATGTTCTGGGGCTGGGTCCTCCCTCCCGGGTGCCTGTTGCCAGAGGGGTCCAAAGAGGTTCAGACACTAGGAGAGGGAGATTCTGTCCTTCCCAGATCCAATCGTTGGAATCCCAAAACGGCATGAAATTCGGCCAAAAATCCTTTTTAAAGATCATTTCCATTTTCTGTGTGTCAGCATCAGGGAGGCAGGGGGCTGAACACCGCCCCCACTTGGGCACAGTTCTCCCTCCTGCCAGAAACCATTTGGCAGTGGGCCAAGCCATCCCTGGGAGAGGGGCGAGCTTAGGACTCGTTCTCTAAGCTGTGTGATCTGCTCAATTAAACCAACTTAAGGGGAAACCCAAAACTTAGACCTCAGCTTTCCCCTGAGGGGAGAAGCGAGAGTCAAGAATGAGGAAATGGCCTGGTCCTCCGGCTTCTCTTCCAGAAGATGTCTCCCAAGCGTTCCTGGAGACGGTCACTGAGGAGAAGCCCCACGTGAAACCCTATTTCTCCAAGACCATCCGGGACTTAGAAGTGGTGGAGGGAAGTGCGGCCAGATTCGACTGCAAGATTGAAGGTGAGCCGCCGCTCCTTTTCTCGTGCTACAAAGGCTGCGCGGCCGTGGCCGGTCTGGCCCCACGCAAGAGTTCTGTTCTAGAGGTGCTGAGAAGAGCCAGGCTTCCAGGGCTGCTCACCCCCACTCCCCACCTCCTGGCAGAGTTCATGCCCTCTCAAGCCCTTCCGAGGTTCGGATTGGGGGCCCACCTGACATTGCACCTACTGACACCAGCCGCTGGGCTGACATTAAGAAGGAATGGTCAGGGGTCTCACTGGCTATAGAACACGCCTACAGCAAGGCGCTTAGGAAGCTTCTGGGAGCCACGTGAAGGGCTCCCCTGAGGCTCTCCACGGAAGGTGAGCACCAGGAGCACAGGGTGCGGAGGTGGCTGCTACATCCACTCCCCGCAGGCCCTGGGATGCGACCCAGCTCTTGTGAGCCTCAGGCCCCTGCCTCGCAAGTGGCACCTCAGCCACTGGGATTTCTGGGGGATTCTGTGACACAACGTGCACAAAGCGGACACCTTTGGAGTGTTTTCAAGATGCCACGGAGCAAAGGAACAAGCTGGGGGCTGGTAAGGGTGACTTCAACGGGAACCCAGGAGCCTGGGCCAGCCTGCCCCGCCCTGCCACCTCCCATGCTTCCCCACTTCTGCCAGAGTAGAGAGCTGTTGGAGCCCCAGGGGCCTGCAGGGACTGGCCATGTTGTGCCTGAGAACTGAGGCATGCCAGGTCTTTTCGGTCTCCCCAGATTTCCACGTTCTAGAAAGATAAACAGCCCCAGGGACTGGCCTCTCTGCTTGAAGGCTGTGGCGATCTTTGCCAACCCGTGGGGGCTTAGGTCCCATCGGCCTGACCAGAGCCAGCACAGCGGTTTGTGCAGCAACTTGCCCAAGGTCACATAGCAGTACAGTACAGAGGAGTCCAAATGAATTAGGCCTCCGGACTTTGAGAGATTTTTTCTTTCTTTTTTTTTTTTTTTACCAACAGTGTGACTGTCTACTGCCTTTTGGGGAGTTGGGAATAAAAAGAACAGGTTTGCACTGGTGCCCTGTAAAATCTTTCTTTTTTTTTTTCCAACTTAAAAAAATGCAAATGGTTAACCCCTTGACTGCTGTCCTAAGGTTAGTGGCCGAACTCACCCAGAGGGGCCTTGGGAGAGATAGGCAGGGGGACCCCTTCTGGAGGGCCAGGTCCTTGAAAGCCGAGTGGTGCCCGTACTTCCACACTGCACACAGGAATGGATGACAATACGCTCAGATTGAATGGCGGGGGGGGGCCATTAAAAGAGAAAGCCCAGCGCTGCCTTTGAGCATGGAGAAGGAAGGAAGCCCGGGCCCACCCTGGTCCCTCCATCTGCTCTCCTTGGGTCTTCTGAAGCGGTTTCCTGCTCAGATGGTTACAGGCACGATCGTTTTCAGGCTCACATCTCTCGACGACCGTGTCCTGGCTCCCTCACTTCTGACTGGAGCTCAGATGAGAGATTCAGCGTCTTGAGCCCTGGGCTTGGGGTTTTATCTGCCATTTTGTAGAGATGCTGGGGTTTTTTTGGTTTGTTTGTTGTTTGCTTTTTGATAAAAAGAAAATTCTTCTGTAAGGAATGACAGACTCCCTACATTTGGATTTGGGGGCAATTCTCCTGACCGCGCTCTATCGGGTTAAAGGCAGGCTGTGGGGCTAGTCTGACCAACTGTAAAATACTTTACTTGTGGTTCCCAATGCTGGTATTTATAGCACATGCCTACTGACAAATGGCACTCAAAGTCACATCATACCTCTTTCACCCCAAATCAGATTCACAGCCATGGGGTCCAGGCCCACTCAGAGCCACCCTAAGGGATAGGCTAGAGCCGCCCCTGCGAGGTTCCGAGACTGTAACTCTTGACAGAAGTAGAAAGCCCCGTCTTTCTCTCGAAGAGCAGCTGGTGGTTTCAAACTGCTGACCTTGCAGTTAGCAGCCCAGTCCCAGAGAGGTAACTTAGTTGCTGCTGGCATGAAGTGACGAGGCATGCTGAATGACCATTTCTGCCACTGTCTCCCTGTGCCGCAGGCCACCCGGACCCTGAGGTGGTCTGGTTCAAAGACGACCAGTCCATCAGGGAATCCCGCCACTTCCAGATAGACTACGATGAAGATGGGAACTGCTCTTTAATCATCAGCGACGTCTGCGGCGAAGACGACGCCAAGTACACCTGCAAGGCTGTCAACAGTCTGGGCGAGGCCACCTGCACCGCGGAGCTCATCGTGGAGACCATGGAGGAAGGGGAGGGGGAGGGAGAAGAGGAAGAGTGAACCCCGAGCCAGAGGGAAACTGTTTCTAAGGCGTATTGGAAAGACTATGTCTCTAAAGCGGGAAAAGAAAAGAAAAAAAAACAAAACCACCTAAGATATTAAAAGCACCTAGTGTGATAGAGTCTCTAATGCCAGGATGTGGGGGTTGGTGCCTGGCAGCAGCATCCTCGGGCATTAACCTGAACTAGCCAGCACCTGACATGTGAGTGTAGGTAGTTCCATTGAGGGGAATCACATGGCAACTTGCCGGACCAGTGTATTTTAGGACAAAAGGAACCATAGATGGATCTTTGTGCTGTATCTATTGCTTCTTTTGTTCTGTATACTTATTTGGGCAAAGTCACACAGTCTGAAGCTGATATGCCCGAGGCCAAAGTGAGGGGCCCTGGGACCTGCAACTGCACCCCGCCCAGGGGAACCTGCGGTGGGGAGCAGCCGCCCCCCCCCCCACTAACCCCTCTACCCAGAACTGCAGCGCTGCTTTCTGAAAGCCCCTGAGCCCTTTGGCACATTGATTCCAAAACTGGTTGTGGGGTACAGACGTTTGAACACTTCATTGACCTCTGCCCCCACCTCCACCCCCACCCCCACCTTTCCCCCTCATCCCTGGTCCTGGGTGGAAACTTCCCATGAGTCCCAGGAAACAAGCTCGAAGGGCACTGTGCTTCTTAGATTCTGAAGACCAGTCTGCCCCGTCTCTGGCTTCTTCAGGAAAATAGATTCTCCTTCCAGACCAAATCAGTAAGAAATCTAAATGTAGCTCCACCCCCTTTGAAAGTGCTTAGTAGTTTCCGGCATTTCTAGTTGACCTCATGAAAGAAAACAAAACAAAACTCCTCCTTCCACCAGGCTTCATGTGTGTGAGGGGTGGGGAAGGTTTTTGTTTGCTGAAAAGTTTGCCTGGATTATTTATTGGCCACTAGGACACATATCCACGGGGGAAGGCCTTCTCCGTGTACTCTGGCCTCTCCTAGCAGATAGTCTGAGTCTAGCACCCCTGCGCTCGCTCGCAGCACGCTCAGACGGGCTCTGCCTGCCGTACTTCTGGGTCCCCCATGCTTTTCCCCTTGAACGCCCATCGACCATGCCCTCCCCCAACCTTGAGTATAGCCTTAGACCCCAGGAATGCACTCCGACTTGCATCTGTAGGAATTTGTTTCACTTTCTTTCACGACATTGGCACTTAAATGTTTCCTCGGAAATCTTTTCTGAAGGTCCTGCGCAAAAGGCCATCTTCCACTGCTAGACCCTAAAGCCTTTCCTGCGCGTGTGCGTGTGAGCGTGTAACATTCCAAGGAGGTTTTTCCTTCCCGGCCACTTCACATTTCCAGGGACCGCTTCATAATTCCTTAGGAACCCAGTTTAAATTCCTTCAGTGTAACCCTACACAGTATCAACAGTAGAATTTCAGTATGATTTAGCTTGATGCTAGCTTCCACTTTTATCTGCCGTGTGCTGCTAGTTTCAATTTGCCAGTATTTTTTTCTTTTTTGCTTTTAACGTTTCAATATTTTTTCATACTAGCCACAGTATTGCCACTATTTACTATAAGAAAGGGCTTTCAACTTGACCTTGAGCGTTCAAAGCTTTTTTTTTAGCCCTCACTTTTAACTCTGTTTAGGCTGTGATCTTGGTGTGCGTGTCCCATGTGTGCGTGTGTGCCGTGTACGTGTGTTTACAGGTTGTTAGTTCCTTCTTGACATGTGTTAACGTTCTCCCGGTTTACTGCGCCATGGGAATGGTAAATGAGAACACTACAGCTGTAGTTAACTCACCGTTTTTAAATAAAGGGTTCCACTGTGCGTGCTGTTTGTGCCGTCTGTGCCCCCCACACACGGGTGGGAAGCTGCAGCGACGTGAGGAAGGCCTGGCTTACGGGGCCGAGGTTTACTCGGGAGCAGGATTTGTATAGTTCTGTCTAGGCTTGGTAGCCTAATTTACACACTCAGACATCCCTTTCAACTATCTGCTTGGCACAAGTACCTTCTAGAACAATATCTATGTATCAGGCCCTCACAGTGCTAAAATCTGCCTGACACAGGCTTAGCATGTGAGGAGCCATCATCAGTATTACTTCCAAGGGTTGGTTCCAATGGGCGTCTTGGGTGCGTTCTATCAGCTGCTGACACCCTGCCATCTTTCCATGTCTTGACCCTGAAGCAGCTGTTGCCAGGAAACCGCATCTCCTGCTTCACAGGAAATCCGTTATCACACTGAAGACCAAGAATTCCTTATTTCTGGGGAGAGGGTCAGACAAAATTGTAGCTATGCTAGAAAGAATTGAAGACAAGGTGTCAAGTGTTAGGCTAGATCAGGGGTCAGCAAACTGCAGCTCTCCAGCCATAGGAGGTTCTTTCGGTATGGATGTGTGGCTCTGAAGTGAAACCGAAAACATTTAAAGGATATTATTCAGACAGTAGTGATTTCATTTGTTTATAAAAATATATTTGTGGCTCTCGGATATTTTTAAATTGTTAAGAGGGACAGGATTGACTCTCCCATCTGAAACATTTGCCAACCCCAGGGCTAAATGATTCTATGCTTCCATGATAGACCCTGTACAGGAGCAACACATAGTCCACTTCATAAATATTTAAACTTTTTTTTTTTTCAATTTTGGAAAGGAACCACCGACCCTTTTATTGTAGCCGTTCCTGTTAAAAGGAACAGCTCACATGGAAGTCAGTTCAGGCTTCACCTTCCCACATTTCCAAGGTCTTCCAAGCCAGCCACTTCGGGGGCACATCCTCTCTCACCTGCACCACCCAAGGTCAGGCCAGCACATCCGGGCCACGCACAGCCATGCCGCTGGGAACCAGCCAGAGCCACAGCTCCTTACCTGTAGGCCGAGGCAGGAACCTGATTTCTGCAAAGACCATGTGGATGTTTGTAACATCACTTGCAGGCCTAAGACAAAATTGTCAACAAATAGCCTGCTATACTTGGTCAAACATTTAATTGACTCAGTCCTGATGTGATGGCTGGACCTGCTTTTCTTGGGTGAGGTGTGTGATGTGAGCTTGTATTCATGGGAACCCTGGTGGGGATGTGGTTCTGCACTGGGCTGCTAACTGCAAGGTCCAGAGTTCAAAACATCCTGCCGCTCTTCAGGAAAAAGACAGGGCTTTCTACTACCATAAAGAGTTGTGGTCTTGGAAGCCCACCGGAGCAGTTCTACCTGGTCCTTACAGGGTTGCTATGAGTCGGCATGAGTTTGTTTTGTTTTATGGCCCCAGGGCCAGGCGTTCCCCACAGCTGCCTTAAACCAACCAGCCCTTCTCTTCCTCCAAGCTGCCTGGGCTGGGTGACTCTGTCCTTCCCTCTTGACTCCCTGTGCCCAGACTGGGCCACCACAGATGGACTCCTGCCTGCATAGCCTTCTTGTCTACCAGCCACCCAAGGCTGGTTCCTCACCAGGCAGGACTCTGTGCTTCCGGCTGCATAGTCGTCCTCCACATTCCCCACCCCGAGATGAGTTAGAGTCCTTGCCCCCATTGGGTCTGTTCATTCTGTACTGGCTCATAGATGGTATGGCTACTGACAGCAAAACTGGTTTACAAAAGTCCACATTGAAAAGTCTGCATTACAAGGGGACTTCGCAGAATCTGTGGGGAAATGGAATCCAGAGCTAATGGGATCTTTCCATGAACTTCATGAAGCCACCCGCATATCAGTTTCAGCACTACTAGTAACTGAAAGGAAGTCTTTTTAAATTTTTCTCTCCTTATTTTAATCACCTTTATACTGTCAAAGAAAGGTTATTGATACAGGATTCCAAACACTAATTGCCGCAATATTCTAGATAAAACACCAGAAACTGATATTGAAAGGGGATAAAATAGCAACTGAAAACCACAGGCAACAAGGAAAGCAGCAGAGGGAACTGCGGGCTTCAAAGCACCCAGCCGTCACTGCAGCTCTGGACCTTCAGGTAAATTAGCATAGTGCTTGAGTCTTGTGGGTGGATTGAGCATCTGCACACTGAGTTTACCACACACACAGAAATGTTTTTGTTGTGATTATGAACTAGAAGGCTCCTTTTATTTGACAAGATAAGGTTCTGCGGAAATGCTGCGCACAAAATTCAGTCATTTTGGTGTCCCGCACAGCGCTACCCAGTGTGCTCCGTGACACCACTGCCCAGGTGGTGTGTTACAGGGAGAGGTAGTCTCAGGCAAAAGTCTCCCCCAGGCCAAATAGGTGTCAGCAAGCAGCCTGATAGCCTGCTCCACGGTGCCCAGGCCTGTCCGGCAAGCTGCAGTGTACTGGGGGAAGGTCTAACTCCGCGGGAATAAAATTAAACCAGAAAACCAAACTCACTGCCGTCGGGCGAATTCTGGCTCCTCGCGACCCTCTCAGACAGGGTAGAACTGCCCCTGGATGGTAACTGTTTACGGGAAAGTAGAAAGCCTCATCTGTCTCCTGTAGGTATAAAATTAGAGTCAGCACTCCTCCTTCCCTCCCTCCCTCCCTCCTTCATACATTGTGCTAGAGGCTAAACCAGCTAGTGCACAGCCCCTGCCCCTTACACTGAGCTCTGAGATGCTGAGAGATCAGAACCTGTGCCTACCCTCAAGAAACTGATTTTGGGGTCTTAAAGGCATGAAGATAAATAAGCGGCCATCTAGCTGAGAAGCAACAAAGCCCACATGGAAGAAGCACACCAGCCTGTGTGATCATGAAGTGTTGATGGGATCAGGTGTCAGGCATCTAAGACCCAGAACAAAATCATAATCAAGGTGAATGGGGGCCGGGGGGCGGGGCATGGAGTGGAGACTCAATGCCCATCTGTAGACAATTGGATATTCCCTACAGATGGGTCACAGGGAAGAGATGAGCCAGACGGTGCAGTACAGCACCGATGAAACACACAACTTGCCTCCAATTCTTTGGTGCTTCCTTCCCCCACTATCATGACCTTAATTCTACCTTATAAATCGGATTAGACCAGAACATGCACACTCGTAAAGAGTCTAAAACACAGGGAATCCAGGATAGATAAAACCCTCAGGGCCAACAATGAGAATAGATACCAAGAGGATTAGGGGAGGGTAGGAGGAGAAAGGGGGAATTGATCACAAGGATCAACTTATAATCCTCTCTCAGGGGGACGAACAATGGAAAAGTGGGTGAGGGGCAACAGAGGATGCAAGATATGAAAATAATAATCTATAACATATCAAGGGTTTGTGAGGGCGGGTGGGGAAGGGAGGGGGAAGAAATGGGGAGCTGATATCAGGGGCTCAAGTGAGAAGAGAATGCTTTGAGAAGGATGATAGCGGCATATGTGCAAACGTGCTTGACACACTGGAGGAATGTATGGATTGTGATAACAAATGTAAGAGCCCCCAATAAAAGTAATTAAAAAAAATAAAGTAAATGTTTAGAAAACAATGGAAACATATGTCCAAATATAGTTGATAAAATTGATGTATGGAATGTTATAAGAGCTGTAAGAGCCCCCAATAAAATAATTTTTAAAAACTGATTCTACACATCAGTGAAACAAGTTATCTGCCAGCGAAATATGTAAAGAATAACAAGTTCTGTATACAGCCCCTCAAAACAAGGATGTTTGACACTGTAATCCGAATGGCATGTAGCTGTGGGACACACAATTGCTGCAAGTTTAGGAAATGCTACTCCAATTGTCCTTGGCACACATTTCAGCTTCACGCTGAAATTTCAGTCCGCAGTCCTCGCAGTCACAGGAGACAAACTGCTCGTTTCCCAGCCACGGGAACATTTCTCCGAGTTTGCTGAATTTTAAACTCACCTTAGCATAAGGTGATGGACCAGATGTCCCGCTTTTGGCGGGACAGCCCCGCTTTTTAACAATTTTTCCCCCGTCCCGCGGCATTTTTAAAAAGTCCTGATTTTTTGAAAGAATGCACAACAAGCTAGGGTATACGGTTTTCGGCTGCCATGTGGCTATTTCGCCAGGATATGAGTTTTATCAATGGTGTCCCGCTTTACCAATGTTAAAATCTGGTCACCTTACTTAGCACTTAACCTCTATTCCACCAAGGTTCCCTAATTTTCCATCAGGATTGGCAAAAAACAAATTCGCCTTTGCTTGCTTCTGACTACATATTAACCACAGAGTAAATAAAGCTCTGATAAGCAGACTCCAGAAAGGCTGGGCAGGGGTCCTTTTCAAATGATCGAGGCAGCTCAAAGCCATGGCTCCCATTTTCTGTAGAATCAGGAGACCGAGAGTTTCGGATAGAAGAAAGCCAGCTGCTCAGGGTCCTTGGGCAATGCAAACAGCCAACTCCCTCAACTGCCCACGGAGGAGCTGGCAGTCTGAGTCCACCCAGAGGAGCTTCGGAAGACTGGTGCCATACTTCCTGAAAACCCCAGGAGCACAGTCGCACTCTGCCGCTCTGAGGTCGTGACAGCCACTTGTTTCTAACAGTGGACAGAGAACTGCCCGCGGCCTCCTGAGGTCAGGCGCCCATTTGTTCCCTTTGGAGCCTTCATTAAGATGACAGCAAACAGAAGAATGCATTTTTAAAAAGCTCTACACCCTGCAAATATGAGCAATGACGTCCGATGGGAAATATAAAAACTGTGGAAGATGGAAAGCAAATAGATGCGAGGCTAAGTGCCTGTGAATGGAGAGGCGGAAACCTAACTTCTGCAGAGGAGGAAGCCAGCCGAAGGCACATCAGGTTCTCCGGAATAATCCCGTGTAAAAGGTACCTAAGGGCAGAAGCCTTGAGCAGGTGTCCTGAAGGAGAAGGCAGTGTCAAATCTCACTGTTAACTAGTTGGGGCGGACTCACAGCGACCCCACAAGG